ATCTGTTTGGGCGAGGATCGGAGCATCAGTGGATCTCTGGAGCTGAGTAAAGGAACGGCTCTTGTTCCTAGCCTTTAGACATGTTGTGCATTTAGAGCTAAACGTTTTACAGACCAATAGATTCTAGGTGGATGATATGGTCAACATCAAGTTGGCCGCATCCATTTCCCAGGACTGTACCTGGTGCTGATTTAAGGTTGGGTCGACATGGGAGCCGGGTTCATTTATTAAAAAGAAAAAAAAATTTTCCTGTATCCTTTGAATCTAAACCCACGACCTTCGATCAGAAAGCGAGCGTTTAGCCGCTACACCACGGTGGATCCCTGGAAAGTAATGAGCACGTCCAAAATCAACCAAGAGTGAGTTGTTAAAGAGCCTATGCTCCATCGGGAGAAGTAAAATAATGCTTATCTAATGACTTCCACTGTATTTGCTCATCCTACGGAACGCTGCCTTTTACTTTGATTATTCGAACAAAAGACGACCTAAAAATCGTTATAAGAAAATATTTTACTTTCTCTGCAAATTAATGAACAAATATTAACACTGCAAACACTAGGAGGGATTCAGTTAAACGGTAGAGAATGAAATATGTTCAGTTAATTTCTGAAAGGGCGGTCGGGAATAAAGAAATAATGAAGATGTTCCCCTTTAGCCTTTGAGCCAAACACGTAAGCTCAATTATCACAACAGAAATTACCCTGCATTTGGAAAATTGACAATACGTCAAACCGGCAAGTGGAATTATTGGAAAACTTCCAGATAAACAAGAAGATAACGGAAAGAAAAAAAAAGGGGGGGGGGGGGGATGGGTTGAGGGGAGACGACCTTGTACATCTTTGCTGACAAAAGACAACGCATTTAACAAATATCGTTTTGTGTCTGTGTTTTTGTCTGTCCTTGGATATATGGTGCTGATTATTATCAATGTCAAAGTGCCTTTCCTCATCATTAGCCGATTTTACGGATAAGGATAGTAGATAAACATTGCTGCTAATTAGAGGCCGCAAGAGACGTTGGTTTTATAGTCTGGGAATTTGGTTGTGAATGTTCACTCAAGTTCTTGTCCTCGCTGTTCTCACTTTGATGAAATCGTTATGCTCGTTTTTCAAAGCTATGCATTGAAGTATGTGCCGAAATGACTTGTAGAAAAGAAATTGTTGTGTGATAGACGAGACAGGTTTCCTAGGTTATAATTTATTGTTTTTATATTACAGACTTTATACAGTAAACATTCTTTACCGCTAATTCGCTTAGAACGAAAACTCGGTTCACGTAAACGTAATTCTGGCACCATATATACATAACACATTTGTTAATCTATGGTTAGCACGAATTTTAACGTGAACTCATGATGTTTTTGTCATTTGAATTTCTTGTTAAGGAGGATTTACAGTAGAAACATATAGTTTATTAGGGTTTGGAAGGCCGAAAAATTTTATAAATACTTAAATGATCACGGGCAGGAAAAATGGATCCCCATTCATGGTATACACACACACTCACACACACACACACACACACACACACACACACACACACACACACACACACACACACACACACACACACAGATATATCTTTTTTTCTTCTGACTAAATTTACATCTTGTATGGCGGTGTGAGCGGCGTCAGTGGCTTAGACGTTGCGAGTCCGACTCGTGATTCCAGCGTACCGCGATCGAAACCCACTGCTGGCTGCGTGGATTTTTATCATGGTATGGGGCGTCGTAGGTCGACCCAGCCTAAAATGGGTACCAGGATGGGCTGTCCTGGGAAAGTAAAGACAGCCGGCGTAATGCTGCCACATTACCCACCGAGTGCCGATGGTCTGTAAAAATATGGGCGCTCTTCCCATATGCCAGATACGCCTAAGGCGTGAAAAGGGATCTTTCCTTTTTTTCCCCCTACTATGGCGGTGTGGGGAAGAAACAGTAGGAGGATTGGAGGTTGGTCTTGGAGACTTAAGGCCGATATCTAATATTTAGTACATTCGCCATAAACTTTGCAGGTTTGAAATTTTATTTTCTCTCACGACAGAAAACGAAAATCTCCGCCCTTTACCGAAGATCGAGACACGGTCTCTCTTACGTGAACCGTGAAATTCAAACAAACGAACTTTTCCAACAGTTTTTTTTTCTCTTCTTTCTCCAACAGGTTAAGAATTGGGCACACAGGCCAGTCTTACATTCTGCTCTTTACGCCTCTTTAGGTTCGTACATTATTCTATTCAAACATTACCTCTAGAATAAAATAATAATAAATTTATACAACATCTAAGTCTTAGATACAAGCGCTTGGCACGATATTGTAAAAAGGTTTGTTCAAAAGCCCTAGTTTTAGTTACAAACTTTAGGTACGATATTGTAAGACAGTTTTTTTTCTCAAAAGCCCTAGTTTTCGTTACAAACGCTTGGTACCATATTAAAAAACGGTTTGTTCAAATGCCCTAGTTTTAGTTACAAACGCTTGGTAAGATATTGTGAGAGGGTTTGTTCAAAGGCCAAAGTTTTAGATACAAAACTTGGTACGTTATTGCAAGAAGGTTCGTTCAAAGGCCAAACATTTAGTTACAAAGCTTGGTACCATATTGTAAAAATGTTTGTTTAAAGGTCCTAATTTTAGTTAAAAACGCTTGGTACCATATTGTAAAAAGGTTTGTTTAAAGGCCAAAGTTTTAGTTACAAACGCATGGTACCATATTGTAAAAAAGTTTGTTTAAAGGCCACAGTTTTAGTTACAAAGCTCGGTACGATAGTGTAAAAACGTTTGTTCAAAGGCCAAAGTTTTAGTTACAAACGCTTGGTTCCATTTTGTAAAAAGGTTTGTTTAAAGGGCAAAGTTTTAGTTACAAACGCTTGGTACCAAATTGTAAAAAGGTTCGTTCAAAGGCCAAAGTTTTAATTACAAAGCTCGGTACGATAGTGTAAAAACGTTTGTTTAAAGGTCCTAGTTTTAGCTACAAACGCTTGGTACCATATTGTAAGAACGTTTGTTCAAAGGCGTTAGTTACATTTTTGGGGCAGTTGAGAAATGGCATATGACTCATCAGTATATTATGCAAACAAGATGAAGGTTCTCAAAATGTTTGATTTAGTTTGCTGTGTCACAGGTTCCCAAAACACTGCTGAATATCGCTGTATAAAAATCTATTGGATACGGTTTACAAGGCATAAATCCATATAATCCACATCGAGACTGGATATGCATCTACTGCAGAACTATCTAATTTTTGAATATCATTGGATACACATCCTCTGGTTTAATATCTACCAGGCACCAACCGCCAGCAGCAGATCATCCATATAACGATCTTCAGCATTCAGCCGAACTCCTGACGATATAAATCCATATTTCTTTTCTATCAGATGTCCAAAGGAAGCAATAACCAATGGCAATTTCCAAGTTCATAATTAACAAAGTGGCAACATGCCCACGCCTTGTAACCAACATCTGCAGCAAAGTAACAGAATGTTGGATCGTGCATAGATCAAACATGAAAAGTCTAAAAACAATTCAAGCTTCCTTTGTTTAAGGATATGAAACTGATCAAGCATAGAACGTTTCTTGGGGCTGAAAGGATGACTAGATCCAAACTAAGGCGATATCACCAAGGTTGATACAACCTGACACACTTTGTTGCTTTAGAATTATATCTCTAGGTGTGTTTATGGAGCACACATATTTTTATTGTTTCGCCCACATCAGGACTACCGTCAGAATAGATTATTCATGGACTCATTCTGTTATACAAATACATTTGAAAACTGGCCTTGCTCGCCTGACTCTGCGACAGTTTAGGACCCTGTAAAGTAGATGGATGTTCAACTAAGGATTCAGGGTCTGGAGCTGCAGGTGGAGATTTCCTTATGATTTGCCATTGACAGAGAAACATCCTTTGCCATTGACAGAGAAACATCCTTTGCCATTGACAGAGAAAGATCCATCACTTAGGAAGGATTTAAGCTGCGGTCTTCTGACACACACACACACACACACACATATGCACAAACACATGCACAAACACACTCAAACTTAGCTGAACAGCAAATTGGAAGTTCTTCTATGTGTCTGAATGAAGTATACCAATGACATGATCATCCGAAAGATAGAGACACAAAAAACAAACAAAAAAATAACATCCTGATTGACAGCATGAACAAACAAAATTAGCCCCTCACATTTTCTAAACGATTTCTAATATTTCATTCAATGTAAGAGTATCGACTTCACTGAGCCGGGTTCAATCACATCTGGCTTGGTGGTTCTCCATAGACTGGCTTGCCGAATGCTGTGAGAATTGCACAAATCACTAACTCTGTAGCTCAAGCGATAATCATCAGACATATTTAGAAATCATACTTTCGTCTAGACGAACGACACATTCAAAACAAAACTAGTCTACACCTTCAGAAAGCAAAAAAGTTCACCGGTTTAACTTCTCTCCCAGGGAAAGACTCAGCACTTATAGGTATATTCCATTGCTTTCTGGATGGTCGGCTTTCTTGATAAAAAAAAAGGTTGTTGCGTATCCTTTACAGGACGTTGCAGAACCAACCCTAACAGCCCCTGGCTGTTGTGTGGTTTCTCTAGGCAAATTACGTCCAGTAGTTTGCCATTGCTTTCTGGACGGTCGGCTTTCTTGATACCACTGTCGAAACCAACGCAAGGCGCATTGCCCGCAGCTGGGATCGAACCCGGCATCCCGGCATTACGAAGCGAAGTGTTCGCATCGACTTAGCCACAGAGCCGGCTAGGTATATTCCGAGAGCAACTTCATTTTGTATATGTTGCAGGCAACTAGTGAGTTTTTATTGGCGGAAATTCATTAAAAATTCCAAGATGGAGAACACGACGACTCTGACTGGACACAACACCCATTGGGCACCTACAACATCGATAGCTCCTGTTGTTGGACTGCTGAGTTTCCAAGACATTCTGGCCTCTATGAGGGAACTACTGAGCAACGTGGTCCAGTTGGCCGTCGATGTCTTTGGTGTTATGACCAACATCATCAACATCATCGTCTTCTCCAAGATTGGGTTCTCAGAAAGTTCCACCGTGGTTCTTTTTGGGCTCGTACTCTCCGATCTAGGATTTCTATTCCTAAGCTGCGTTTCCCAAACTCTTGATATTTTGGACTCGGCTGTTGGCCTTCGACCTTTGGAACCGTTCAAGCAATTTGCATATCAAGTTCTATGGTGGTACAACATGTTCTATGACGTCACGATTCTCCTAACCGTATTTAATGCCGTGCAGAAGTGCGCATGCGTGGCCATCCCCCTGACTTTTAAAAGTATTTTTACAACTTCTCGGTCGATTAAAGTTACAGTTGTCATCTATAGTGCTGCTGTTATTTACTACGTGCCAATTTTTGCTAGCCCGGGAACATGGACCCGGTTCGATTACTCCCGCAACTGGACACGGCTATATAATTATTATTACCCCCAGAATAAATTAGCATTCACTGTTGTGCATATATTCAGCCGAATCATTCTCCCTTTGGTGTCTCAAGTCATTGTCATCTTCTGTATGATTGTGCTGATATACAAACTCAGAGAAGCTCAAAGAAATAGACGCAGTATGGGGTCTGGAACCGAACTCCCAGCCAACACGTACAACCGGATATCTCAGCAAAGTCACAAAAATACCGCAAGAGAAATTCGAGCGATCCAAACAGTGACGCTTGTGTCGGCCATTTTTGTTGTGTGCAACATGCCAGATATTCTGATCACATTTACCAACAAATTTTACCCCGCGTTTGGTGACGCCATGAAATATGAAGGAGCCTTCAAGATGTGTAGCGCTATTCAAGATGTGTTCGCGGTCATCAATTCGGCCGTGAATATTTTCGTGTATTTGAAGTATAATTCGAAATATCGTCGAAAGTTTACGGAGATTAGGCAGAAAGCCTGTCGTTTTCCTAAGAGGCTTAGCACTTAACTTTGTATTTACCAGGCAAGGTTCTCTGAACCTTTGCAAGTCTTTGCAAGTTAACTAATATACGTTTGAAATTGAACCAAAAAATATTATAACTGATAGATAGCTGATGTTTTACATTCCTTGTGTATTTAATACGTGTGTAGGCGACTGACTTTGCCGAGACTGCTGACTGTTTTAATTTATACTCAAGAGAAAGCGATGGGAACTGCATGTTTTTTGTAGTCATAGGAACGGTGCAGCTATAAGGCGAAGTTGGAACTGCGTTTACCTGATACATGATTACATCATTCCTTTATCCTTTCTATGTGAACCCCAATTTCACATTATATCTGTCAGACATTCCTGTAAGTTACTGGTGCAGAGAGCCGAGCTGGCAAATGTCTGCCAAATGTTCAGCAGCTAGTACACCCAAAAAAAAAAAAAAATTGAAGACAGAGGAGAAGAATCAAAACATTGTAGAAAAAGTTCGTTTAAATATACAGATAATGTTTATCAACTGTTCAGTCTTATCAGGTCATCAATTTAGGAATCCATACAGGTCGTTATAGTTCATCGGTGTTACCGGTTCCAGGTTGATTAGTTGGAATCTCATTTAATCCTGTGGTTTATGAGTCTCAATTTGGAATGAGCGGAGAGAGAGAGAAAGAGAGAGAGAGAGAAGAGAGAGAGCGAGAGAGAGAGAGAAAGAGAGCGAGAGAGAGAGAGAGAGAGAGAGAGAGAGAGAGAGAGAGAGAGAGAGAGAGAGAGAGAGAGAGAGAGAGAGAAGGCTTAATGCTACCACAAAATGGATGTTGTAAAAGGCGAGTAATTACGGGGGGGGGGGTGGGGAGTGGGATATAAGGCGTCTGTTTTCTGGTATTTCCCAGATAGCAGGGTTGTTAGAAACCATATTCCAAGTCTCATGATGGTAGAAACTTAAAGAGAGAGAGAGAGAGAGAGAGAGAGAGAGAGAGAGAGAGAGAGAGAGAGAAAGATAGAGAGCAGACAGAAGTATAAGTGAATCACATTTAACAGGATCGTGTTCTTCAAGAACCGCGTAGAAACGTTTGTAACAAGATGCCAAAAGGGGTTCAATGAACTGAAGACTATGGCTGCAATGGACATTGAGCAGATAGTGCTGTTCACACTATAACAGCACCTTATCCTTTCAGTGATTGATTATGGACTAGGACTGCTTGTCGTCTCAAAGAGTCAGATGGTTAAACTAGAGCGCATACAGAACGTGTATGTGATATATCCTTGATTTACCGACTGTTACAGATAGGCTCAAGGTGTTGCAGCAGAAATCATACCACAATCAGACTTGTGTAGTCATATACACATAAGTGGAAGTTCAGCAATTAATTCAAGATAATGCTTGATTATTTATTCAGACGGTTAGGTATCAAAGATTAACAGAAGTAGCTTAGTGTTCCTAATAAAGAGCTAATGGTCGACGTTGGGAGCAGGAGAGCCTAGCATATGATACCGCAACCTCCAGCTTGAAAAATGTAGGTGGAAGCGGTCACTGCAGGTTTCCGCTTGTTAGAGAACACGACACGACGCACACCACACCCACACACACCACGCCACCCACCCACACCACTACCCCACACCCACACCCACACACATTATATTGTAACTGATTCAGAAAGCATGCTGACGAAGGTGGGGAAAAGCATGCTTCGAGGGATACGGGTGAGGAAAAGTGTCTGGAACTCTTCTCCGTGACTTTCCAGTGTGTGGGAAATGATCAGGCAGATCGACTGGATTTCTCTACATGAACGATTCAGATGAAGAAATAGATCATCACAGTCTGGTGACAGTGATGCAGCGAGGAGTGAAGAGGGCATCTGGCCGATGATCGACGCTCAGAGGAAAGGCAAGACTGACGTATAATTAGACAGCTACTAGCACTACTGGTATTGGAACTCTGCTGAAGATGGGGACAGAGCGCTTATGTGAATGCTCCGAGTTCAGTGATGTCTGATTAAAAATCAACTCGACTCAACTCAAGCCAATTCATACAGAGCTGCCCTATTGTGCCACGAAGCACTTTTTTAAAATCGCTTTCAATCTCGAAAAAGAATTCCCCTGAGCAATTTCAACTTTCAGAAAAACTGATTTTAAAATGTCTAAATTATGTCTGTACAGTGCAGGGAGAGTCTCCTAATTTTCAATCAGAGATTTGTTGGTTTGTTTATTTGTTTGACCTAACAATGAAATAAATTAGAATTAATCAATAGCAAGTCACCCTACATAAAAGATTAGCATGGGGCTTTCATGCCAGCCAATGTTCTCCCAGGCCTATGCGTTAAGACAGCCCTGGTACAGCTAGGCTGCGATATATTTATATTTCCTAGACAAGATGCTGCTTACTAGCCAATCTTAATTGAAGTTCATAATTGTAAGATGTGAGTATTTCTTTTCTTCTTAGTCCATGGAGTCTTTGTGTAGCATTTCAGCTCAAAAGTCCCTATTTTTATCATGTGAGATACTCCACGACACACATTCATATGTAGCTACAGGAAAGATGCATGCTCTCGACATTTTAATTTGACTTCTTTTTATCTAGCCTTTGTAAAATTATCTTTGAAAAAAAAATCACAGGAAAATATGAGACGAAACACGTGCTTGTAAATTTCTGGCAGTATTTATTCCGAGCGGAAGTTGAGGTGGTGGGGGACCGGAAGTGAGCAGACAAGGAAGATGGCGGAGTCTTGTGATACGAGGGTTATTAACCTTTGTTCCAAGCATCACATTTCTGATGAAGCCATGAGAGGTCGTGTTTGATCACTGGTGATTCTGTGTACGCGTTGAATGTGGTCCCACTTTTGTAGGGCTGCGCTCTATGCAGTGTTGATAGTTATGTGATGGAAATCAAAACGGTGTATGGAAGGTGAAAGGCTATTATTACTAAGGATGTAGTACAAATAGTTGTGAGATTCTAAAGGTACGACCGGCTCCAGCTGAAGGGCCGTGGTGCTGGGGTCACTGGGTCGGGCTAAGGATGCGTTAACGCAGCGGTTCTCAAATAAGAAAAACTATTTTCGACAGTGGCGAGAGAAGACAAATTAAATTTGAACTTTTAAGTATCTACAGCTAATGAACACAAACAATAAAGACAAAGAAGAATACTGCCGTACGTGCAATAAAGAGAGAGCAGTGTACCTACGCCTGTCTGAAAGCCAGTGACGAATGGTTGAGCGAACAAGTGATCTCACAGGGAGAACATGGTTGGAATCCTTGGTTAGCTGTAGATTTGTTATCTCTCGTGGGCAAATGTGAAACCATAACTTACTAGGCATGGTTATTTTTTATAACATATCTGGCATACAATATTAAAAAATCCTTAACTCATGGAAGACTAACGCTAGAGATGACCACATGAAGCGGAAAAGCATGCAGTTTGATGTTTTGAAAATTTATCAAAATTGTAATCGGGCGGACTGTCTGCTGTGAATCAGTATCTGTTGTTCTTTCTCATACAACACAAAAAAGGGGTAAAAAAGGACGTTTGTTTACATTTTAAAAAAAAGTCCTTTTAAGGACATAATTATTAACAGGTTGCATGCCCAAATTTAAACAACTTGCACTCAATGGTTACGGAGTTACAGATTTCTAAAGTTCGGCAGGAATTTTGAAACGGACTATAGGAAAAAGAAAAGCAGAAAGTCTTGCGTAAAAGATCCACGCATGAAGGAAAGCTCACCTCTATTACAGAGCTTAACTTTATTACAGAGCTCAACTTTATTACAGAGCTCAACTTTATTACAGAGCTCAACTGTATTACAGAGCTTAACTCTATTACAGAGCAAAACTTTATTACAGACACACGAGAATACACGAACACACGAGAAAACACAAACACACAGGAAGACACAAACACACAGGAAGACAGAAACACACAGGAAGACACAAGCACACAGGAAGACACAAGCACACAGGAAGACACAAACACATGAGAAGGCACAAACACACAGCAAGACACAAACACACGAGAAGACACAAACACACGAGAAGACACAAACACACAGGAAGACACAAACACACAGGAAGACACAAACACACGAGAAGGCACAAACACACGAGAAGACACAAACACACAGCAAGACACAAACACACAGCAAGACACAAACACACAGCAAGACACAAACACACAGGAAGACACAAACACACGAGAAGACACAAACACACAGGAAGACACAAACACAGAGGAAGACACAAACACACGAGAAGACACAAACATACAGGAAGAAACAAACACACAGGAAGACACAAACACACGAGAAGGCACAAACACACGAGAAGGCACAAACACACGAGAAGGCACAAACACACGATAAGGCACAAACAAACGAGAAGGCACAAACACACGAGAAGACACGAACACACGAGAAGACACAAGCACACAGGAAGACACAAGCACACAGGAAGACACAAGCACACAGGAAGACACAAACACACGAGAAGACACAAACACACGAGAAGACACAAACACACAAAAAGACACAAACACACAGGAAGACACAAACACACAGGAAGACACAAACACACAGGAAGACACAAACACACGAGAAGGCACAAACACACGAGAAGGCACAAACACACGAGAAGACACAAACACACGAGAAGGCACAAACACACGAGAAGACACAAACACACAAAAAGACACAAACACACAGGAAGACACAAACACACAGGAAGACACAAACACACGAGAAGACACAAACACACGAGAAGACACAGACACACGAGAAGACACAATCACACGAGAGGACACAAACACACGAGAAGATGCAAACACAGGAAGTCACAAACACACAGGAAGACACAAACACACGAGAAGACACAAACACACAGCAAGACACAAACACACGAGAAGACACAAACACACAGCAAGACACAAACACACAGCAAGACACAAACACACGAGAAGACACAAACACACGGGAAGACATAAACTCACGAGAAGACACAAACACACAGGAAGACACAAACACACAGGAAGACATAAACTC